GGGATGATGACTTTTTATCTTTTTTAACTTTTTCTCATTTTTAAATTTAAAAAAAATATTTAATAAAGAATTTTAAAAATTTTTATTTTTAGAATCCACTTGATATCAATGGTATCTCACATTTTTTTTTTTACTTTTTCTTTTTTTTATTTTTAATACTTTTTAGAATTTACAAAAAAATATGTTTTTTTAAAAGATTGTATTTTATGTGTGAGATTTATTTTTACCAAACTTTTTTTTATGTTTCCTTTTTTTACTCCTTTTAATATTTTCCTTTTTTAAAAATATTTAATAAAGAGTTTTTAAAGAATTTTTTGTAGGACCCACTTGAGAAATATATGACCAACGGTTTCGTTTCCTTTGGCTATTGTGTGTCATTTTCCAGTTTTTTATTTTGTTTTTTTTCTTTGAAATTATTTAATAAATATTTTTTAAAATTATAAAATATATTTTTTAAAAGATTTTATTTCTCATGTTTGGGACTCACTTGTACCAAACTTTCTTTTTTACTTCTTTTTTTTTACCCTTTTAACTTTAACTTTATGAAATTAAAAAAAAATTTAATAAAAATTGTTTCAGATTTTATTTTATTTTTATCAAATTCACTTGATACTAATGTTATGCTAAGTGTTCATTTTTTTTCTTTGTACCTTTTTCATTCTTTTTTTATATATATTTAACAAATAATTTTTTATATTTTTTAAGTCCCACTTGATATCAAGAGTGTGTTATTACGCCATATGTTAAGTTATTTGACTCTTTTTTTTTTCTTTTTTTTATGTTATTTACTTTTTTCTTTTTTTAAAAATATTTAAAAAATTAAAAAATATATTTAAAAATTTTTAATATTGGGTCATTTGATATGATTATTTAAAATATATATTTTCAATTTTTTGATTTTTTTAATTTAATGAATTTTACAAAAAAAATTAACAGATGTATCGATGTTACACTCAAATTTATAAATTTTCAAGAAAAATTTATCATTGCAAATGTTGTGTAGTAACTTAATTTTCTTCCATTTTTCTTTTTGTCTCTTTTTTTTTCCTTTCTTTTAGTTTTTTTTTTAAAAACTAAAATCATTTTTTGAAAAAAAAAAGAATGTGTACGTGACATCTTATTTCTTCTTTATTGTTATTATTTTTTAATTAATCAAATTATTATTTAAAATTTAATTAAAAAATTAATATTTTAAACTCAATTAATATTTTTATAAGACATGACATTGAGGTGAAATTGTGCTTATGATGATTTGTCCAAACTCATTTCATGGTATATATAAAAAATATATATTATTTTTAATTAAATTTTATATTTATATATATTATATTAATAAATTTATTATTTAATACTTTATGGATATCCATGCGGTACATTCTATGAACTTTTTTTTTGTTGTTTTTTCCTTTTGTTCTTTTTTGTAATTTCTTTTGTTTTAAATTTTAAAATTTTAATTAAATATATTTTGTGATAATAAGATATCATTTTAGGTATCCATGTGTCACCATTATTTGGATTTTTTTTATTTTCTTTGTTTTAACTAGATAAATTTAAAAAAATGAATAAAGATGGCAAAAAAAAAAAAGTTAACCCGTTATGTTTTTGTTTGATAAAAAATTAGTATTCAATAGGTTTTAATTTATATCAATTGATATTGGCAATTTTGTAAAAATCGATATTGCATCAAGTCGAGTATTATGTTTTTATAAAAAAGAAAGGATGAATCAGAACGGATTTAGGATATTCTGTTCTAAACCACTCTATCGTATATATTTTGTATCTATTTAATTTTATCTAAATTTTGTAATAAAATGTTAATGGAGCCAGCATGTAGTAATCCTATTGGTTTATTTTCTTTCGTATTTTTTATTTTTTTAATTAGATCAATTTTATAATAAAATGAAATGATTGATAAGATAATAAAATAATTAGTACTAAATAAGTTTCATTCGATGAGGGCATTTAAAAAAATTAATATAAAATTAATTCAAGATAAAAAATCAATTTGTATATTCACATATCACCATCGTTTGGGTTTTTACCTTTTGCCATTTTTTCTTTTTTTTTTGCTAAAAATTTTTTTTGAACAAAAAATTATACATACGAATGACAAAACAAAAAATTTTTGATCCGCAGCATCGCAAAAGGTGTTGGCCTAGTATAAATGAAAGATGGTCTTTTCCCTTTTCTTTGCAATAACACACATTTAAGCAAAAGTCACTGTTATACCATAACAGTCATGTCATCAATACTTACACTTGATTTTGCAATTGATTTTAAGGCAAGTACACTTGTATAAATAGTCATATCATCACTCATGAGGTATCAAAAGGGAGTTGGCACAGATGTTATCAAACATGCTGAATTTACCCTTTACTTCTTTTTTTTTTTTTTTTTCCAATCCTCACTAAATTGCTCTCTCTCATTTTTTATGATATTTTACTGACTTCGAATATTGAAATACATTTTGAAATTTTAATTAAGCGTCGAAATGGGTTTCAAAATTTTAATTTTGATGTCCCATGATCTTTTTTTTCTTTCAGACAGCTTTAATAGACTCACCAGCCAGGCTTCCAACGGGTCCTAGTCTTATCAAATTCAGAAATACCTTAATAAATTGGTGTCGCTTGTGGGATCATAAAAAGGCGTTTGGTTTGCAGATTTTTAAATATCAAAAGGGTAAGTGACTCAAGGATAAATGATAGTTAAAGATAACGAGTGATTGTTTTGTTTTGTTGATTTTAGGAAAAGTATGATTTTTGTGTTTGGTTCATAAAATTTAAAATTATTTAGTAAAATTTTTTAATTATATTATTCTTAATAACATATAAATAATACATGACATTTATATAATCATTTATTTAATATTTTCATAATACATTTATTTAATACATAAATAATTTAAAATAATAATATGATATTTGAATAATATAAATTAATTTTAAAATAAAAGATTTAATACCTCACATTTGATCAAAACTATTTCGATTGATGCTTTATTAAAATTTTTAGTGTTTCCTTTTTACATTTTTATTCATTTTTTATTCCCTAACTAAAAATTAAACATAATACGTCATTTAGATTATTGTTTCTAAATATTTAGTACTTTTATTAACAAAATTGTTGTTTTTTTAGTTGAAAAAACAAATTTAGTATATAGCATTTACTCTTTTTAAATCAAGTGATATTTTGTTAGTATAAAATTAGTGCATTTGTCACTATCAATTATTTATTTATTTTATTATCAATTAATTATTAATTAATTATTTGTGCCTTAAACATAATATATACTTTTAATTTATTTTATAAAATAGATGACGGATATTTATAATAACGTAATCTTTTATGGAATAGATGACTGTTGTTATCATTTATTCATAAAAAGATCAATAAATAAATAAGTAAAGATGCAAAGTATTTATATTCTATATTTATTTGATGTGTAAAGTGTCACAAATTTATTTAATATGTCAAACAACTTGTACATGTTAAACAAATAAGTAATTTAACATGTAAAAAGCTCTTGACATGATATACATAACATAATGATTTTTTACCAATTAAAAATAAATATTTTATTACAAACATTTGTTTCGTTCCAAATAATTAGAATATTATTAGCATATATATATGTTAATAATTTTTATTATTATATTTTTTATTAAATAAAATAAAATTAATTGTAAGGCACTTAATTAAAAAGTAAATTAAAATAACTGAATTAATTCTTTTTTATAAAATAATATTTCTCATGCATGATTCCAATTGTCAAATATTAAAGCTTATCTTTCATACTTTACAATCGATTATATGAAAAATCAAATAAAAAAAATGATCGAGGATATAATAGAATCTAAATTTCAAATATTGAAGGCAAAAATGAAATAAACTTTGTATTTCATAAAAAATTAAAAAAAAAAAAAAAGAGATGAGGATTTTTAATTTTGGCCTATTTTTTAAAAAATCTTAAAAATTGCCAACAAAACGAATCACATCATTAACAGTTAGACGTGTTTTTACTTACAGAATCAAGACAAATCACGCCACTTGTACGGATAACCATGTTACCACTCATGAAGTATAAAAAGTACCGAGTCCCACAAACGCCTCCTTTTAAATCTTATTCTCGCCGAACCCTGGAATACCTCGACATACAAAAACAAATTAAGTCTCTAGTCATGCTAAACGGAGACATGATGCAATCGCTTAGATCTTTCCATATCATGGAAACAGATCATCTAAGCTACGATGATCTGTTAAAGTGGTTACTGCTAATGAATGATTGGTACATATTCCTTAAAATACAATCCTCAAATTGGATTGATTTCTTTTGCTTAAACAGTCATGTATCATTTAAGGAAAACCATGTATGTCGTTTGGAGATTGCTGAATGGTGTGAGGTTGTAAGCCTTTAGTTTCTGGCGGTTGAGTTTGAGTGTTCATGGGCAATCTGATATCCTCCATGTCAGAGTGGTGTTTGAACGGCAACTTTCTGGCGCAGTTTATGGAACATCTAGGTTTTGATCGTTTAGGTAGTTTTTATCGCTCAACAGAACATGCGTGCATGTTACTCGTATGCCAGTGCATGTTATCCTTGGCTCATGCTTGTTCCTTTATAAATGAAAATAAAACTAAACCTAAGTGATATAATTGGCCCTTCGTGCAGAAACTCAAATCCCAGAAGTCTACTGCTCCTCGGATTTTACTAAATCATTTGACATATATAACACAAGGCCAAACAATAATTATTCTTCTTCAATATCTTCAAATTAAAAGAATTCCGATTTTTATTCCTTCTCAAGAGGGTGGGTAACCTAACGGTAAAAATATAAATAGCAAATATTTAAAGAAGAATAAATTTTCCTTTTGCCAAATCAATGCAAGATTGATTGTTGGGATTCTGCATTAATCAAGTGTGTGTGTGTGTGTGTGGGTGTGTGTATAAATGCCCGCTGCTCCTATTGATCAGCTTTGCCTATAAAGAAGAGGTCCCATTCCCCAATACTCAAATCAAATTATCATTGCATTTATATTCGCTCTTTTCTCTGGAGATATTCTCTTCCAAGTTAATAATGTCCTGCAAAAGCAGGAACATCCTATGTTTAGTTTGTTTCTCAACATTTCTGTTGTTTTATGGGGCTGTTTCAGTAGACTATGGAACAGCACTTACCAAGTCCTTGTTGTATTACTAGGCTCAGCGCTCTGGAAAGTTGCCTTCCAACCAGAGAGTTAAATGGCGTGGTGATTCTGCACTTAATGATGGCAGTGATGCCAACGTAAGCTCTATCTTCACGTTTCTGAATATCCTAGCTCTTTGCTGGTATATATATTGAATATGATGTTTCTTTTTTAAACCTCCCTACTTATTGCTATAAGTTTCTTTACGTATATAACTAGATTGATCTCACGGGAGGATGTTATGATGGGGGGGACAATATGAAGTTTGGATTTCCCAAGGCATTCACCATAACAATGCTTGCCTGGAGCGCCATTGATTTTAATTCGGAACTTACAGCCATGAAGGCCATAACCAATGCATTGAGTGCCATCAAATGGGGCACAGATTACTTGCTCAAAGCGCATCCAGAGCCAGACGTCCTTTATGGAGAATTGGGTGATGGAGACACAGACCATGTCCGTTGGATGAGACCAGAGGACATGACCACACCGCGAACCAGCTTTAAGATTGATGACAAGCACCCTGGGTCTGATCTTGCAGCAGAAACTGCTGCTGCTTTGGCTGCCGCATTCATTACTTTTAGGGCCAGCGACACTTCGTACTCTAACCAGCTTCTAGAACATTATAAACAGGTTTGTACAATTTATATGAAGTTCATCTTTCAGCTAACAAGTAAAATAACTAATTAGCCATAGAGCATGTGCCTGGTCATATCGCAGTTTCTTTGGTAGGGTACCTATATCTATATATTCACGTCATAGACATGGATTGGACAGTTTTGAAGGCCATAAATTTCTCATTTATTAAAAGCAAAATGAATCATTTTAAGGATTTGATGATAAGAAATTAATGTTCATAATTGCAGTCAATACTAATATCTGATTAACTTGTTCGATCTAGCTCTTTGATTTCGCCCGCAATTATCAAGGTGTATATCAAAGCAGCATCCCTGTGGCAGGAAAATTCTACTCCAGCAGTGGTTATGGGGTAACAATGCCAGTGTCAATGCAAAGGAGTTTACTGACGTATTTAATGCAAATAAATGACGTAATAAATATAATTCATTTTGTTATTTTAATGCATAAATAAACAAATTAATTAACCAAAGCCATTACTGAATAAGTTTGGTAATCAAAGATTATATGTATGGCAGGATGAACTTTTGTGGGCCGCGGCGTGGCTTCATCGTGCAACCAATGAACAATCATACCTGGATTTTCTTAGTGGAACAGGAAATACAGGGAGCACCAGAACCAAGTTCTCCTGGGATGACAAGTATGTTGGCGCACAGGTCTTGGCTGCCAAGGTACGTAATCTTCCGCACCTTTCTTAATTAATTCCTCGTTTGGTTCTAAAATCATTGATCAAAATTTCGTCCATGAGGGCGAGATAGTGAAAGAAGGTGAATTTGTTCTTGATGTTAATATCAAATATAATAATAAAGGATATCTAATGCGAAAAGGAAACAGAAAATCTCTGATAGTTCCATGCACATAGGAGGAAACTAAGAGAATTACCTTTAAAATCTCTGACTAGTCCAATGCAGCTAGTGTTGAAAGGCAATGCGGGCATTAATTCAGAAAGAATGGCTGAATTCAAGAGCCAGACAGAGCAGTTCTTTTGTTCCTGCGCTCAAAAGGGCAACAACAAAGTGATGAAATCACCTGGGGGTTTGTTATGGTTTCAACCATGGAATAATCTCCAATACACCACAACGGCTGCATTTATTGCCATCGTCTATTCAAAATATCTCTCTCATTCCAAGGCCTCTATCCAATGTCCTGGAGGCGCCCTTGAGCCCTCTGACCTTGTTGATCTTGCAAGATATCAGGTATGGTTTTTGTTTATTTTTTCAAAATTTCTTTTGCCTACCGAAGGTTAGTACGCGGTTGAATTTATACTGTTTATATGTAGTGTACGTGGACTATATCTTGGGTTCAAACCCAAAGAAAATGAGCTACATTGTTGGATTTGGGTCAAGCTATCCTACCCAAGTCCGTCACAGAGGAGCAACCATGGTATCAATCAAGTTGGACCCTACAACAGTATCGTTCCAAGATGGTATGAATAAGTGGTTCAACAAGAACGAGCCCAACCCCAATGTGTTGGATGGAGCCGTGGTAGGAGGCCCAGATGCAAATGATCAGTACACCGACTCAAGGTCGAATTACCAAATGGCAGAACCCGCTACTGTCACGGTTGCACCATTGGTTGGAGTCCTGGCTTTCTTTGCCTCGTCAAACTGAAGAATCAGGGATCCAAAATTACTACTAATAAAGACTTGTTTTTAGTTAGATACATGGTGCAGCCATTAACCGTTAGCCATTAGCCATTAGCCATTAGCCATTAGCCAAAGCCAATGCAATCAGATCCACAAATGCTTTGCTAGAGGAGTGACTAAATTATTTTATTGCTCAATTTCCGGCACAACATATGTAGTCATTATTAATTCTGATCATTGATTTCTTAATTAGCTCGTCACAACGACCATAATTCCCCAACTAGCTAGCTACATCTTTTGAGACCTTAAAACCTAAACGTATAGACAATCATGACTCATATGGTACTAGTACTAGTACTACTAAGCTATTTCATTTGACTTTCCATTCTTAAGTATTTCCGAATCGAGCCGCAGCAACTGTGCTGCAACACAAGTATCTAAGATGCATTATTAAAAACAAATATATTAAGCAGTACTAGTACATACTAATTAATGCAATAGAGAACAATTTTTGATAAAATAGCTACTCAGATACTTAATAAACTAGCTAGATACCTAACGTTGTTGATTATGAATGATTAATTTATATATATATATATATATATGATTAGGAATTTACTTGTACAATAAAAGTTTTAAAAATTTTACATATTTTTTTAATTATTAATTTGATCTAAGAACGAAATTAAAATCATTTTTTTTTACTTTTATTTGTTTCTTTCATTTTTTAAATCTATTAAAATTAATGATTAAAAAATATGTAAAACTTTTTAAGTTTTACATTGTATAAGTTAATTCTTTATATATATATATATATATAATCTATCTTTTATCATCTATTATCTATATATAAAAGTGTGAAGTCTAAAAGTGTAAAAAGTGATCAACTTGAATACTTTTATAAAATTTTAAATTAACAAATTTATTCTTAAATATATAAATTTTATTAATTTATTAAAATAAACTTAAATAAACTAAAATTAGAAATAAAGTTTATGTGAAATAAACTATTTAAAATTTTAAAATTTTAATTCCAAAAATATTAAAAGTGATTAGCTGCAATATTTTTAGTAAATATTTTTATAAATTTTAATTTAAATAAAATTTTTAATTATTAGACTATTTTTTATAATTAGACTAAAAAAATGTTAAAAGTGATTGACTAAAATACCTTTAATAAATTTTAATAAATATTTTTTTATAAGTAGACTAATTTTTCACATCAAATGAAAATGCAAATAGAATGAGATCAAAATTTATTGTGCATAGAAAGAAAACAATTATTTAAAGATTGTTTATATAGTTGTTATAAAAACAATTATATATGTAATTTATGCTAATAAATAATTCATTAAAAATAATTATAATTAAGTCATTGAAATATTTTTTTTATTTCTTTTTTTTTCCTTTCAATCCAAAAGTGTTAACAGTGATCAACCTAAAGACTCCTATAAATTTTTAAATTAATAAATTCATTCTTAAATATATAACTTTTATTAATTTATTTTAAATTTAATTTAAATCAATTAAAATTAAAATTAGAATTTATGTGAAATTAAGCTACTTAAAATTTTAAAATTTTAATTCCAAAAGTGTTAAAGGTGATTAGCTAAAATATCTTTAGTAAATGTTTTTATAAAATTTAATTTGAATGAAAATTTTTTATTATTAGACTTTTTTTATAATTAGACTAAAAAAGTGTTAAAAATTATTGACTAATATACCCTTAATAAAATATTTAATTTAAAAAATGTTAAAAGTGATTGATTAAAATATCATTAGTAATTGTTTTATTAATTTTAATTTAAATGACATTTTATTATTATTATTTTTTATAAGTAGAATGATTTTTCCCATAAAATAAAAATACAAATAGAACAAAATCTAAATTTAGTGTGCATAAGAAGAAAACAATTATTTGAAGTTTGTTTATTTAGTTGTTGTAAAAACAATTATATATGTAGTTTATGCTGATAAATAAATTCATTGAAAGTAATCCTAAGTAAGTCATTGAAGCATGTTTTTTATTTCTATTTTTTGCCTTTCAATTTTGTGTTTTAATATATATATATATGTATTATATATATATATAGTTAATGATTTTAGTATTTATATGTTTTATAAGTTGATCATTTGATCATTGATAACATAATTAAATTTTTTTTGTCCCTTGAAATTATTTTTTAATATATCATTATTACAATATAGTATGACCTATATAATTAATTTTTCTTTCATATTTTTTTCCTCTAGAATTTATAATTGCTATTCCCATAAACAAAATCTAATATTAAATCAAATACAAATCAATTATATCCATTCCATCAATAATTAGCATTATGTGAATCAATAACCACTTTAATTGAATTTTCTACCTGTAGAATTAGACGATTTAGGAGGTGATGAAACTATTAGTAGTTCAAGATTGAATCCCATTAAATTGTCATAAGAATCGTTTTCCTTGATTAAAACAATAATTGATTTAATTTTTTTATCAACTTTTATCTTAATATGCAGATATATGATTAATTTATATCTCTATATTATTTTATCTTTCTCAATTGTATTAAATTACTCACTTTTTCTTGTCAGCAGGTGGTTGAACAACCTAACGTGTATTATTCGAAGTAAAAAATTATCAAGTGAAGTAAAAATAATTGTTTTTGATGAATTATTTCAAGGTGTGACAAAATTCCTTGAACTATCTTTTGAATGTATTTATGCTAAAATTACATTTATTCATGAAAATTTATGTTGTTCATGCTGAAAATGAAATCATTATAGATTATATTGGTGTTACATAACAAGTTTGTTATTCTTAGAATTGGAATTTTCTTAAGAAAACATGAAGGTACTAAAGTTAAGAATTTATTTTATTTTAATTTTTAAAATTATGTATTTTAATATTTGTAAATAAAAGAAAAATTAAACTTTCAATTGATAGAACGTATAATTTCATTCAATTAATAGAAGCACCAATGAAAAATTATTCTAACCAAACAAGTGGGATGAAAGATTGGTTGGTCATGCGTAACTCTATCTTTTTCATATGATAAAGAAGGTTAGTGTTATATGATGTTTCAATAAAAAAATATACAATTGTATTGATTTCAAATTTCTTTAAGATTAATATGGAACTCAATTATTTCAAGAAAGATTGTATACTCACTCATTTTCTCTTTTATATTAGTTGAAGAATATTCACTATTGTATCAAAATTTTTAGGATTGCTATATTAGTTAATAGTTATTAAAAAAAATTAAAATTTATCAAATTAATTATCGCTTCACATATAAAATACAAAATTACTATAAAATATAATTTAACTACTTAAAGGTGATTTAAAGGCATTCATTAGCAAAATTCATTTGATAAATCATTATTTAATTGTATACTTAGTATTTTCAATCATTTTGAATTTTGAATTTTGAATTTTATAATTTTGAGTTAGATTTTAGATTTACGAATAGCGACCAATTAGGTTGAGTCAAGTTTTATCATTTACTTTTATTCATAATGTACTCAATTATTCACTTATGTACCTAAACAAATTTGACTCAGTAATTGATGTATACTTCTCTTTATTTAAAAAACTAGATTTAAATCGTTCCAAGTTCAAGTAAAAAAAGAAGTATACTCAATTTACTTATAATTGCAATTTCATTTCAAAAATACTTTTAAAATTAATTAACTAATTCGACTACAAAGACAATAAAAATAAAACATTAAAGATAAAGGAAAAAAACTTAAATAAGAAACTAATATTGAATAATAAAGATAAATAAGAAACATTAACTAATTGTTACGAAAGATAAATAACTAATATTGAATAACGAAGCTTTATGTTGATTACAAATTAAATTCCAAAGTAAATTTAATTTCTAAAAATTGACAACTTGAATCGATGATGTTTGAAAGAAGAATTCAAGCTCAATTTTGTCATGATATTTTGCAATTTAAAGTAAACAAAAAATATTGGAATCAATTCAAGAATTTTTTTTTTGTTTTATTTTGACTGAACTTGGTATTGAAACCAAGTTGCCTACATACCGTCCAAAGTAAAGGATCAAGTCATCATGTAGTTTAAAAAATTTTCTTGTACCTTAACTTTTGCTACAAGTCATCTTTTATAGGATTTTCAACTTAGCAATGTTTTTTTTTTCCCTTAACTTTTGCCTAAGTTGTCATTTGCAAGATTTTCAACTTAGTAGACTCTTTTTTTTTATTATTATTTTCACTAACTTTTGCCTAAGTTGTCATTCCAAATTTTTAACTTAACAGGCTTTTTATTTAAAATAGTTAAGGCTATTGTCTAGGAGCAATATTTTTTGTGTTGTTTAAACTCGTGCTAGGAGCAACATGAGCAGTTTAAGCTCTTACCTAGAAGTATTTTTTTATATGTACAGTTTAAGCTCATGCTTAGAAGTAACAAGAAAGCAATATGAGTAATTTAGGCTTTTACCTATGAGTAACATCTTTTGTGTTGATTAAGCTCTTATTTAGGAGCATCGTGTTTTGAACAGTTTAGGCTTTTGTTTAGGAGCATCATTTTTTGTACAGTTAAGCTTTTACTTAGGAGTGTTAGGTTTTGAATAGTTTAGGCTTTTGCATAGAAAGGATATAACCTTTAAGCATAATGACGCTTAAGAAACTTACCATTGATGGGCTTATTCTACACTCCATTTTGATAAAATATATTATATTCATTATTGTTATATGTTTCTCTAACAATGTATGGTTCATCTCATTTTGAAGGGAACTTGTTGCCAATGCCATGTGAAGTATTTATTAGTCTTCTTAAAAC